AAAAATAAGCTGTGCAAAATTTTATTCGAATATGATAACTCTAAGTACTTGCGCGTTGCATTTGAAAATTTAGAAAACCATATGCATTCTGGGAAAAAATTTTTTAACAAAATAGTTGAAAGTTGTGAATTTTATAGTCATATGCCATGTAAAATAACCTACACAATCTCAATATGAGGTCAAAAATTAAAAAAGTAGAATAGGTTTTAAGAATTTGCGAAATTATCGTTTTTTTCAAATTGAGAAAACAGCATTTTCAATTTTTTCCAAAAATATCCGGTTGTGATTATCACACCACAAAAAGATCTCTACCAGATTAAAGGTCTTTGAAATCCCTACGAACCTGCTATACAATGTTTTGCAATCAAATTATTAGTTTAAGAGTTATCTGCCAATTTATTAGTGAAATCGGACTCAATTTTAAGTCGCATCGTTATTCTACTGTGAATTACACCTAAAAGCTGCAAACTTGTTGTTCTTGTTTTTATGCTATGTTAAAGCTTATTTGATTTCAAAGTATATAGATCTAAATTTTATGCAAATCGATTTGAAAATAGAAAAGTTATAGCAAATTTAGTAAATGACATTGGATTCAAGCAACGTATCGATACTGTACAGCACATTTGATTGTAAAATAAATTAAAATATCATTTCCAGAGGCATGTTATGCACATCGCAATTAGAAAAACAACTGACAATAGGTTTGTTTCATTAAGCAATAGTTTTAAATATTTTTTAAAAATTGTTACAAATTATCATGCTTTGGCTAGCAAAAAAGTTGATAAAATAAGATAAATTGAGATAGCAAAATAACATTTGATTTTTAGATAAGGTTTGGAAGTTTCTGCGGGATACATTTATACTTGTAAAACTGAAACAATGGTACTTATTGTATGTATTATGTATTTATATTATGATCCTTATTTTCATGTAATACTACGCTCAAAAGAATGTCTAATAACCGCTTGTTTATTAAGCAATAGTTTGTAATAGTTTGGAACAATTGTTACGAATTATCACGGCTTGGCGGTTTAATACCAGAAAACTGCAAAAAAATTTATAAAAAAGGGATAAATTTAGAGAGAAAAATAACAGATAAAATTTCTACAGGATAAAGAATACAATTTTCCAGGAAGAAATATACATATATATCTGTGGACATTTTAAAGAACAACTTAATCCTATAGTTTACGGACAAACAAAATAGCAAATGTCGAATGTTTTCTTGTAAATGATGTGGAAAAATTATTTTGGTTACCCCGTCTCAATGGTTGCTACTCCACAAATTTAATGGGAATAATTGTAGTAGAAGCTCATCTTTGGTAAGTTCAGTTAGAAATCCATTCAAATGTTTTGAAAAATATATGTTTTTTCCTATTTTGTTATTTTGTTATTTGCAGTGGGAAGACATAAAGCATTTTTGTACGTACGAGCTTCAGAAAGTCCAGATTCGCGGGGATTACAAGGAGCTGCTTCAGCTAGCATTTGCTTTTCTAGGTGGTACTAGTGGTGATTTTCGAACATGCGGTCCAACATCCCATGCGCGGTTTATGTCGAAAGCTATTTATTGCCTGAAGATATTTCTTTTTCGAGAACAGTTCAAACTGACGCCAAGAGAATTTAATAGTTTACGAGATATTTGCATTTTCCTCATTCGCCTTTATATGAAAGCTTGGTACCAGTGCACAAATCCCATTAAGGCTCCAATGCAAGATTTGAAATTTTTACAAAATGCAATTGAGTACGCCCAAACTGATGCAGTGGTATCCAATGCGGTTTTGAAAAATTTCAAGTCATTTATGGTAATTAATGCCGGAGACAACAGCTTTAGCGTTTTTTGATAATGATGTGCCAGTGGAGGAAAAACGAGAAATGGTGAAGGCACTGCAAGCAGTCGAGCCAAACGTAAAATTCAGTGAAGATAGAGTAATTTCAAATCCCGTTCTCTTGATTGGCAAAACTATTAGAGATTTCGTGTCCTACAAAACTAAAAATTTCTTCGTTGCCTTTGGTTTGTCTTCTGACTTCTTACGGATGGATCCATCCGAATGGGGAAAAAAACGAAGATTATATAGACGCTCTCGAATTTTGTCGAGATTTATTCGTTGTAAATGACACAGCTGAGCGGGGTGTTAAATTTATGAAAGATTACAATCGAATATTGACAAAAAATTAGGAGCAAAAACAATTGGTGCTTCAATTTGTAGAAGCATGTCGAAAAAAATATACATCACACAATAAATCGGCACTTGTTTATTAAAAAATCATGAAATATAGTTTTATTTTTTACAAGCTTTCTCTGAAATATTCTTTTCTTATCAAATTTGGCCACATTTTATTGAATTTGGCTACTGGGCACTAGGTTGACCAGATGAGCTTTTCAAGCGGTTATTAGACATTCTTTTGAGCGGAGTATTACATGAAAATAAGGATCATAATATAAATACATAATACATACAATAAGTACCATTGTTTCAGTTTAACAAGTATAAATGTATCCCGCAGAAACTTCCAAACCTTATCTAAAAATCAAATGTTATTTTGCTATCTCAATTTATCTTATTTTATCAACTTTTTTGCTAGCCAAAGCATGATAATTTGTAACAATTGTTAAAAAATATTTAAAACTATTGCTTAATGAAACAAACCTATTGTCAGCTGTTTTTCTAATTGTGATGTGCATAACATGCCACTGGAAATGATATTTTAATTTATTTTACAATCAAATGTGCTGTACAGTAGACTGGGTCGAAAAAAAAAGTTGCTAATGTCCGCCCCTAAATTTAAAGATTATGTTGAGAGGGTTCTGGAAAAATTTTTTTTTTTTTTTTT